CCAATGGTGGAGATACGCTTCCTTGAGTAAGCATTCATCGAGTATTGCATTTCTTTGGATTGCTTGAAGCGATCCCTTTCATCTTCTTAATCGTATACCCACAAGCGGAAATTCAGATGGATTATCATATGCACTTTATGCTCTAGCAATTTTGAGCTAGGCCCATAGAATGAGTAGAAAATGATTGATCTGCTCATATTTCATTATTTTTTCTAGCTTTAAGTTGTTATAAACATTAATTCCGAGTTTTTTTGTGCATACCACATGAAGGACGAAAGCACTAGTCCTTTACAGTAAAATGCAATTACAGCGAGAATTCGAGAACGGCATCAGGAAGGAGTGTTCGGATGAGGTAAAAAACGACAATTTTTTGAACGCTTGTTTTTCCAAATCGCAAGAAGGTAGCCACTATAAAAGAATATTGGTCCCCTACCTCAACCTTATCTGTAATCAGGAGACTCACTGTGCCCTTTATCCTCTTGATAAGTGTTGCCATGGCTCCTTGATTATCAATTGCCTGCCAAACTGCATTCACCAGCTCTGTGGTTATTTATCTGTTCTTGCTTGTGTTTCCTAAAACTAAAGGTTTCATCTCGGGCAGTCTGTCGGTATTCGGTTATCGCTTTCTCTCGCCCAGGCTGGACCGCTACTTCCATGACTCAGGCGGCCTGAACAATGTACATGGGATGCCGGCCCTGCTTGGAAGTATAGCTCTAGCAATTGGATCTGCTTTAGCATCCTTCGAGACCTACGGTCAAAGCCTATATCTGATTTTTCCAGCTCGAGCTCCAGAATTGGTGAGTTCTCGCTTCATGTAATGACGTCTGTCTGATCAAGGCAATCTGTCATTAGGACGTCAGCCTAATTGGACTACTTAAAAGGGAAATGAGTAGCGAATACATAAGCGGGTCGAATGAAATTATGCCATGTGTCACACCGAAAAAAATGTGCGTAATTAGAGTATATATAAAAAATCAAGTTTTGTCGCACTCTCCTTCATCCTTTTTTATTTGTACACCCTCGTTTTTGGCAAATTCTTTAGGACGACAGGGAGACTCTGTGGAACGTAGCCAGTCGTGCGTCTTTTGCTATAATAATAATACTAATTTCCAGCATCGGACAGGTGACCTGATATATTTTAGAAGGTTTGCCGGAAGTTTCATTGAGAGGCGCCATACTCAAAATCGAGTTGCAACTCGTAAAAATTACAACTAAGGCGATACTCCGGACCAATCTTTTGTTAAACGATTGGAAGCTGAAAATCAGCGATAGCTTAACAAATTACACTGACTGGCAGAAATGCAAAGGCTAGACTGGCCTTATATGGCCAAAATAAAAGAAGGTGGTAAAAAGCAGAGGCGGTGTACATCCTCCTTCAGAGGAAGCTGATAAACAGAAGGTTGGAACTGAGAAGAGTCAGCGAGAAATTTGCCTATTGCTTGAGCCGACTTGAAGAAATCGGGGATGCCTGAGGTATCGCCAGTAAGAGGATCTTTAGGGTCAAATGAAAGTCAAGAGAATGCAATTGCGATGAGGAAAGTTTAATCGAGGAAGAGGCTTCATTAAAGTTGAAAGAGGATGGTCTATGTAGTAAGACAAATATGAGCTACCATTAAGGATGGGGATTTCAGAATTTTGCCACGGTGGTGGAATGCGAAACCGGTGAGGAAGGTTATTACGCGCCATTTAATCCACCTAAAGAGCTACATAGTTGGAGGCTATTGGGACAAAAGAAGATATAGAAGGATGTTTGTAGGAGAATAAGCCATATGAAGGTGAGTTACAGGACGAGGATACAGGGCTAGAAGTCTAGGGTAAGAGGGAGGGATGACAACTAATTGGTCCGGAGGATTGCCTCCACTTGTCATTGACTATTTGTAATTCAGTGCTAAGATTGAGGCCTACCATTTAAGAGTCCGACTACAATGCCGGAAAAACTTGTGAGAATGTACCAATTCATCACTCCGACTCTGGAAGTGTACATAAATTGTATAAAGAAAAAAAAGTTAAATGTTATGATAAAGCCGATATTGTGCTGCAGGAATCAATGGAGCACTCAAAAATTAAGCAACAGTTCAATAGGCCATTCGCTTCGTGGTTAGTTGAAAGGTATCCCGTCTATGCTTAATTAAAGAATTTTTTTAATTTAATAAATAGAAACTAAAAGGAGACGAGGTGAGGAATCGGCACAGATGATTGGCAAGTTCGAATAAGGCTAAAACATTGGCAGATGATACCACCTGAAGATGTCTCTAATACAAGCACGCAGGACGGTGTGTTAAGGAATTCTTCGCAATAGCCAAGATTCACAACTCCAAGGAAATACGCCTAAGGTCCTTTGTGAAGTGAATCAAAAAGAATATGAAGTTATTAAGAGGCATTTCGAAAAAATGCTCCTCTTCGTATCTACAAGGTAGAAAATGCACTCCTAATTGGCGAATTTAAGGAATTGCAACAGTAGAGCTTGGCTGACGAGCAAACCTGAAGGGCACGAGATTGATAAGGTTCGATGGCTTGGTTCCGAAGGTGCCGCTATTCCTAATCGATGTGGAATATTTCAAACAGGGAGAGGTAGCAACGAAAGGAAGCTGAAATGGAGCTTAAACAAATAAGCGTAAAATTAAAATATTAGTCTTAATGCAGGGGGATATACTCCAGTACATATATATTAATAAATAAATAAATTTATTTATAGTAGTTGATTGTAATGGCAAAATACAAGTTTTTTCCATCGATAATCTGACTATCAAATTTGTATATAGCTCGAAAAACTACTTATAAACTAAATAAAACATTTTCAGTTTATTGGTAATTTTCCGAGACCAGCAGCTCTGATATAAGAGCTGCATTCAACCTATTTCTTTTAATCGAAGATATGAAGACCAAGTTGGTGTGGCCCCGGTATGGTCGCAGTCTCCTTTCGATTTAAATGGGTTAGTTGACCTCGTTGTCACCAGCTGATGTGGATCCTGGATGAGTTGGGCCTTTTTGGACGCATGGAAAGTGAAATTAAATGCATAAATCTAGCATCCTTCTCATTTCGTCATGAGCAAGCCCACCATTCGTTTGGCAAGAAGCCAGTCGAAACTGGTAAACATTGACATTAATCATACTCCGTTTATCCAGAACTTAAAGCGCATGGCTTGTTGTACAAGATCACGATCTGAGTCTATTTCATTTGTTAAATATTGCTATGCTATTAAGTCATAAATAATGAAGAGGTTTTAGAAAATTGGAGACAGAAATTTTAAAATGGTTTATTCTACACACATTTGAACCTCTTTGAATGAATATATATCATGCCGAGCCAATTCACAAATTCTTTCTTATTCTTCTAACATCGGTCTCGAGGCATTTATTTGACCACCAGGGCCCGGATAATAGTTAAGCTAATAAGATATTTCCTTTAAATCAAGCATAATTGTCTAAATAATTGGGAACACACTAATCTGATTTTTGGTCTCTTGGCCAAGCATATATTTCATCAGATTGTATGGTTCGGGTATTGTGCATGATATTCTTGTCCACTTTAATTTCCACAATATACCATCTTTATAGGGTATATCTATAAAATAATTTTT